TGGAGTATGCCCTTTGTTGCTTTTAACATCCACCTCGGCATTAGCATTCTCTAATAAATGTTTAACAATCGGCAAGTAACCCTGAGCAGAAGCATTATGTAAGGCAGTCCATCCATCGTTATCTTTTTGATCAACATTGGCAGTCTTTTGCAAAAGCCAATCCACAACAGCAGCATGTCCATTGTAAGAGGCTTTCAGAAGAGCTGTCTATGAAAACATAATTGATATGAAATATCGAAGAAATAGTTCCGTTATGCTATAATTTTGGACATACCTCACCGGTTTGGTCTTCAAGATCTACAATAGCACCAGCATCGGCAATTAACCACTGTACGATTTCTAGGTGGCCACGCGAGGCAGCGTAATGTAGTGGAGTTAAACCAGAAGATGGGCTTGCTTCGTTAGCAAGTAAGAAAGAGGAAGTAGTTTCACCGGAACCACGAGGATCAAGTAATTCCTTAACTCTAGCCATGTTTCCAGCGGCAGTTGCTTCATGAATAGTCATGTCATTTTCCACAGAACCATCAATTTCATTTCGACGAGAAGTCTGAGTGTTGGTATTAGTGGGGAGTTTTACCTGGTTTTTATGGATATTGCCGTAATAACGGTGACTCTCCCCGGGAATGGGTGGGTGAACAGAATCAGGAATATCTGGAATTCGTAAGGTGGGTGCAAGGGGTGGAGAAGAAACCATAGTGAGAAGTGAAAATCAAAGTGAAAAAAAATATATATACGTATATCGATATTATTTGTAAGTTTTAACGTTAAACGTTAAAATTCCGTATATTTGTTAAAGATGCCATATTATGGTCACAAGTAGTAGTACAAACTTTATCCTTTTGAACTTTGCACATTAGTAAACCCATATTGGGAGTAGTATTGATAAGTAGGAGGCAATAATGGCAACCAAAAAAACAAGTACCATCTAGATAACAAATCTATTTTAGTAACAAATTGACGGACTGTAACTGGTTTTTTCTGCATAAATTATCTTGTCCTCCACATGTATTCTCCAACTTCTGTTATTTGTATTAAGATTATTAATATTAGGATTAAGCAATTGCATGCCTTATATTATGCAAAATTTGGTCTTTAACAGTTGTATATCCTCTAAATGTGTTTTGGTTAGATAGTTTGGTTCAAGGAATACTCAAGTTTATTGGGAGAAATTTTGCCTAACTGCTAATTCGAAATTTCCGTCGGCCAATAAAAATGTGCATGTGTCGGTTCATAGGTCTGATTGATTAATTTTGTTCTACATCTATCCGTTTTGCATTTTTAACCGATCTTTGGTCAATAAGTAAAGTTGCGGAAAGCTTTTATTTTATACATAATTATCTCTTAAACCGTCCAGTTTAGCGGGAAACTTGCCGATTGTTAAACATTTATTAGAGAATGCTAATGCCGAGGTGGATGTTAAAAGCAACAAAGGGCATACTCCATTAAGTGAGTTAGATTATCCCCAACGTCGACTATGAGTGAGAGAATATACTGACATAAACCGATTCTCAATTTCAGTTTTAAATAATTGAGCATCAACTAATGTGGGGTTGTGAATATCTAGCCTTGAAATCGCTGGTTGAGTCTTGATTGGATTAAGCAAAATAGTAATGAAATGTATCAGATTAGATGTCTTGATTGTAATCAGCATTTTTATGGTGTGGATATTATGATAGTTGTCGATATTTAAAACTAGCGCGCTATCAGAACTATCTCCAAGATTTTTTTCCACAGTTATAGGGTGCTTTTCAGACACAGAATCCTTATGATAAGCGATTGAACAAGACATCATTGTTAATCCCAATGTTGCTAAGGTGTCAATCATTGAATCAGGCATTCCAGTAGAATCTAAATACATTCCTAAATCTCTTTTTATATTATTAACAAATTTATTTCTAATGCCACAAATAAAATAATATAAAAATACTAATTGCTTTGATACTTTTTCCATTGTATTTTGGCTTTTTTTCATTGGGTTAGTCGATAAATATAATTCGTCGAAAAAAGACTTCAACCGTTGGTCTTTTAATTCCATAACTGCATGAAATTCTTTGAATTTCCAAATTGGTGACAACTTATTACGCTCTCTCTCATAAGGATGTCCATAATTATCCTGACAGCCTGTGAAAAAGACAAAATAGTAGTTTCGTTAAAGCTTCTGACTCAAAAGAAGAACATGAATCTAATGTATGCTGTTGAAATTTAGAAGATTTGTTAATAACGATTGCGTTGTAACAGACTATGCATATAACATCATTTTCTTTAATATAACCAGGAAGAGTCTTATTATTTACTCCCTGGAACAGAACTAGACCGGTAATAGTTCACCAAGTTGTAGATTTTCTCTTGCAAATTTGAATAGTACACGGTCCTTCAAGTTTCTTTTCTTTGCCCATTTCAAAAAATTATTACTAAGTGAACCCCTCTTAAATAAGATCTTATTAGAGATTATTTTTAAAGGTAATATTCTG